GAAAAACACATAACTGTCAAATAACAGTTAATTAAACACAGATTTGTGTAAAACAAATAAAGGAACATTGGAACAATATTCTTTTTGTGTTTTTTTTTCTTTTTCTGAGTTATAATGCAAAATTGTCATTCTTCTCATAATGTAACTTTGATTTATAAAATGATAATAACTTGTAGTTAAAAGAAAATATAAATCAACAATACAGTATAAAGAACATTATTATTTTGTTTATTAAAGAAAATATAATGTCTCTTTTGAGGAAGGTCTTTTGAGACCAGAGTCAGTTTATTCCCCCTCGGGGTGACCCTTACACCAGCACCAGTCTCTCTCTCTCCACTGAGCTGTGAAGGGAGCTTATCAACAATATAAAATAAACTAAAATATCTGCAAGTTATAGTGCTGTTACGAAATGGACATAAAAGAAGGAACCCAAAAAAAAAAGACATGACGGGACATTGCCAAGCCACAGCTAACCACCATCACACCATTCAATCAAACATTTTAAAGTACAGTAGTTGACATAAAACCCCTACATCAATCCATCCTTCAAACAATCAACTTGAAATTTGCCTGCAAAGTTATAAGTGAGCTTAAATTTAATATTCCCTCCCTCTACTGTTACACCGTGGCTCGAGAGCACCGACTCGACTCGCTAAAAGCTGCAGGTCCTTACAGGAAGCCACTTGAGGATTTGGTCCTCGTTTCAACCACGTTTTCCATCTGGGGTTTCCGAGCCAGCGGCCGTTAATCCGTAGCTTCACTCAGACGACGCGTTTCTTGGAGTTTGTGGAGCGACAGGAGGAGGACGTTGGAAAGGTTCTGTACAGCCGTAGGCTTCATTTAAATGGGAATAAATTGCTTTAACTTTACAGGTGGGCTGCGAGTCACCTGGTTCTGACGTCAGGAATTTTAATCTGACTGCCATTTTGGTCGCTGAAGGAAACCAACGTTTCACCATCCAAACCAATATACTTTTGGTCAAAATGCCCCAAAATGTGTTTTTAAGAGAAGCTAAATCAGCTCCCTGTTGGTCAAAAATCATTGAGTTTAATATTAAGGCTAAGTAACCTGACGTTAGGCCAATCATTCAACAAGCCCCAGTTTTAGATCCAGTTCCTGCAAACGTTACATCAAAGCCTGTGTTTTGCCATAAAAAGACATCAAGTAAGGTTGTGTGGTACTGAAATAAAACCCAGAGGGAAGTAAGGTGAAATAAACACGCATTTCTACTAGGGCTGCCACGATTAATCGATGACTAATCGATTATTAAAATAATCGTTTGTGGCAGCCCAAATTTCTACTTTAAAAACCGGTCTTTCCTTTACGCTAAATAACCTTTTTGAATTATGTAAGTTTTATGAATGAATGCGAGAAGTCAATACTTTTTTTTCCCACCAGATGTTTGTCTTTTCTTTGCTCCAAACTCTTAAGAGGAACGTCTTAAACAAACTTTCAAGAGAGCGTAGGCCATTCCCTCCATATGACTCACTGTCAACTTTGACCAACAAGCCTCTGGTCTGTGAGCGTCTGGAGCTTCTTCTGTGTTCCCATAATAACTGGACCCAACCGTCCTCACAGAGCACAGGGACAGAGCAGGGGTCCTGTTTGTTCTAATTAGAACATAAAACCATAATGGAGTAATTAGGAGTCGGTGGATGTCCTAAACTCACTGAGGAGAGGCTTCATTATCCGCAGGAACCTGTTGGGAAATAAACACCAGACACATGGAGCTCACTGAGCTCCTCTGTCAGACATCTTTCTTCACAGCAGCTCACTTTATCTGAGTTTGGAGGATCCCGGCCCGTTATCAGTGCAGGGGATTGCTTTGTTAGAGGCACGCCAACCATATCCGAGGTTTTTTTTCTACTTTTCACTTCAGCTCATCTTTACTTTTATTTCTGAGCTTTAAAAGTGCTGAGAAAATCCAGTCTGCTCCATCTCTTTAGTAAACTAAAACACGTGTTGAGATCAGCTGAAAATGCTCACATCTTTTATGTACGTGTTTACACTCAGATCCGTTGATTTAAATATGCAGAGAGTGGTTTTGTTTACACTGAGTGCGTACCCACATTTCAGGATTGCTTATCATTTTATCTAGAAAACTGCAGAAGTAAACTCTATCAAACATTCAGTGTCACAGTTTGATGTGAGTAAATACCTCACTTTTTATTCTTCAAACGTTTTGAGAATGCGAGGATGGCAATTAAGCAGGGCCTAAAAAAGGCAGATGGGAAGGGAAACTTGGAGCATGTTAACTGACCGCTGTGAATCACAGAAGCCTTGGACTGACAACAAACAGCAGAAATAAGTCCACAGGCTCAGGATGATGATCACAAGTTTCCAGAGATCCCTCACACCCACAGACATGCAGTCTGCTGCTTAAGCTTTCTAAAATACAAGGTTAGCACTTTGAAACAGAAGCAGTTCTTATCTGGTGAGAAACATATAAAGAAAACACATTTTTTTAAGTTAGATTATTATAGGCCTGTCCTAAACTCAGCTGGGGCCTTTAAAGTAAGTTTCCACTTATTACAATGAAATGTATTTCACTCTCACTTAATTATTATTATCAGTGTTACTATATATTAAAAATGCATCAAACCGACAGATGACCTACCTTGTTGTTGTCTGAAGAAGTCCATGTTACGGCTTTAGCTGCAGGATTTATGAAGGTTTTCGGTGCAGTTTAGGAAAATACAAACAGCACAGATGCAGAGAGTGAATATTCCCAAAACACAGAGCCGAAATCCGGAAACTGCGCTCAGATCAGTGAAAAGAGGCGCAGAAACAACTCGGACAAGCCTCACTTTTTGGCAAGAAACAGCTCCTCTGTGTTTTTAAAGGTAAATAATAATTCCGTGTTCAGGCGGGATGAGGAGGTAAAGTTTTCCCGACCTGCTCTCGGCTTGTCTCGACACGCACACACGCTACAAGAACCGACTTTGGTTCCTCTCCCTCCCTCTGGAGCTTCTTCGCCTCTGATGTCAGCAAAAACCGTGAGCTCCAGGAAGTGGTGACGCTGTCCGGTGCTGCGTTGCCATGGCGGCGACGTCAAACTGAGGGTGACCTACCGCCCCCGCGTGGTCGCTCTATGTCACTACAACTGTTTGAAACTGACCAGAAAAACATATTTGGGAAATAAAATATTTTAAAGGTACTTCTCGTGTGAAAACAAATCATAATGAACAAAGAATATATACCCTATATTTCTTATATTGATGATTAATGTGGCTTTAAATTAAACTTTATGAGCAAAATTTGTGATTAGGTCACCACGCATGCAGTTCCCCTAAACCACTAAAGCAGCAAATTTCCTGATTAGTGCTTTAGGGCTTTTGCTAATTTTAAAATTTGTTAGTGGATTAGCACTTGCTAAATTTATAGGTGAAATTTAGAAGCACTAACTGATAAATGTTATTGATCAATATTAATGTTAACAGCTGAGGGTGAAAGCTGTCAATCATTTTGTTCATGTGTCACTGACCCACCAGGTGACATGTTAACAATATATGAACTCAAACCCAGCTGTTGAATGTCAATGATAAGCTTTAAGAGAGCAACATGTGACTCATGTTGTCTGTTGAAGAATGTTCATGGGTTGATTTGGTTATTAGTGCTTTAGAATTAGCTTTTGATTAAAAACATTTTCAGTGCATTAGTGCTTTAGAATTAGTGGACCCAAACGTCTGAGTTAGTGCTTTAGGGCTAACTCATTCTACATTGCTTGTGCTGCTTTAACAATTCATAAATCAAAACGTTCAGCTCATTTAGGTCATGGGTGCTCATGAAATGCTGACTTTTGGAATTTCAGCAACTCATACTTACTTTACTGACATTTCCCATTTTTCTTTTTCGTTGTAAATGAAGCTTTTGTCCTGGTTCTGCTTTTTTTTTTTCAACCTGTTTTGAGCTTCCTTCAAATTCTTTTCCAGCTAATTTCCATTTCCGTTACTGTCAACTTTTGTTTTCCTACTTTTATCAAAAGTCACCTGTTCAAATTTTACTCACATAAACAGTTTTGCTAGTAAACATTTTCAGCTTCTTAAGCAGCTTTCAGCAAAAAAAAAAAAATCTTTCAGCATTAAGCCATAACCATGCATTTTAGCAGGAAATGCAGTTTTTCTAGTTATACAGTATCTGTAAAACTGCTGGAGTAAACTCTTTCAAACACCAAATATTTTGGAGGGTTGGTGTTGGGCCACTGTCCTGCATGTTTTAGATGTTTCTCTTTGATACACATGATTTGAATGAATGCATGATTAAAAGGCTGCTGATGGACTTGAAAACATCCTGAAGAGCAGGAAAATGTGAAACATGCAGAATAGTCCATATTAGGTCTTTTTTTCCTAAATTTGCATAATTATTTCGAACTACTAGCTTTATTTTGTAAAGAGATAAAGAGATGAAATATAATTTACTGTCCCAAAGGTAAATTTGTCTAACAGCAACATTTTGTAACATTAAAGGGATCCCTGATTAGTTGTAACATTAGACTTTATTTGATAAACATTTATTTTAACTGTAAAATAAAGACTGTAAAAATACTGTAGGCTCTTCAGTTTTTATTATTTTTAAACTAAATTTAAAAATTTATATTACATGGACTGAGCCATTTTATTTACACGCAAAGCATTCTGGGTAAATGATGACGTGGATAGGTCCTCGGTGCGAGGCTGCTAGCGAGCTATATCCACCCTGAAGGTTAATCTTGGACAATATCTGACTTAGCCTGTTAGCTTTAGCGCCGACGCTATATTGCCTTATATGTATTAGCTCGGCGCTAGCGCAACAAACTAACAAGCTAAACTGAGCTCTTCCATTCACAAAGGGAATGCAAAAATGACTCAGAC